GGAAAGGGTTACAAAGTGATTTCAAAGACCTTAGAAATTCATCAGTCTACAGTTAGGCAAACGATCTACAAATGGAGACACTTTGGGACTGTGGCTACTTTACCAAGAAGTGGGTGCCCAGTCAAAATGACCCCAAGAACACAACGAAGACTCATCAATGAGGTAAAGAAACAACCCCGAATGACAGCCAAAGATCTGAAGACGTCATTGGAACTGGCTAACATCTGTGTTCATGAGTCTCCAGTACGTAAAACATAAAACAAGCAGGGTGTCTATGGCAGGACACCACGAAGGAAGCCGCTGCTTACTATAAAGAACATTGCTCCACGCCTGAAGTTTGCGAAAGAGCACATTGACACTCCACAGCGGTATTGGCAAAATGTTTTGTGGACTGATGAAACAAAGATTGAACTATTTCGAAAGAACACGTAGCACAACTGGCGTAAAAAGGGCACTGCATATCATCATGAAAACATCATCCCAACCGTAAAGTATGGTGGAGGAAACATCATGATTTGGGCCTGCTTTGCTGCATCAGGGCCTTGCCAGCTTCCAGTTATTGAGGGGAAGATGAATTCCCAAGTGTATCAAAAAATTCTTCAGGTTAACGTGAGAATGTCTTAATGTCAGCTGAAACTCTGTAGAAGTTGGGTGATGCAACAGGACAGTGACCCAAAACACTAGAGACACAACAGAATGGCTTCAGAAAACCAAAATCCGCCTTTTGGAGTGGCCAAGTCAGAGCCCAGACCTCAACCCAATAGAGATGCTATGGAATGACTTGAAGAGAGCCATGCACATGAGACATCCAAAGAATACGGCAGAGCTAAAGCAGTTCTGCCAGGAAGAATGGGCTAAAATCCCTCCTGAACGATGTGCATGTCTGATCCACAGCTACAGGAAGCACCTGGTTGAGGTTATTGCTGCCAAGGGGCGGGTGTGTGTGTGAACCAGTTATTGATTCCAAGGGTTCACTTACTTTTTCCACTAGCATTTTGAATGTTGAATGAGTGTGTTCAATAA